TCAGGGAACCATGGTTACATAAGTAACCTGAGACGTTTTCTTTGCCCAATCACTTCTAGAGGAGAATGCTGGCTATAACAACAGAGTTTCAGAATTACACACTTGAACCCCTAAAACCCATTAAAAGAACAACAGCAATACATCCCTGACTCACCCAGAAAAACAGGCTCCCTACAATTGAAATAACTGAAAAGATTCAACAAACTGAACTTTCAACAAATGGAAAACCAAAAAAAATGTTTGGCCAGAAACACTCCTATACCAAATATATCCAAAAAGCATTTAAGATCAACCGATAAACATCAAAAGGGAAAAAAGCAATGGCAGCCAAACTGTCTGTCTGGAACATGGACAATAAGGCCACATGTTAAGGAAAGATCTCCAGGTCTCTGTTTGTCGTGCTTCTTTCACTGCTTTTATTGCCGGCTTTCTACCTGCAGGAGTAAATGGACCAAGTGCTATAACATTGGCCTGTGGGTTTCTACAATCAATACCAGTCAGAGCAGCAGCACAGAGAAAAACAGAATAACAGAAAGGGAGATAGCACAGACATCAAAAACAAACACAGCTGCCAAACAATTATCACATAACAATAAGTCAGAGGACATAACAACCATAATGACACTAGTGAAACTAGTGTATCAGTGTTGGAACCATTTGTAATTCAATGATTCAATATAACCTTAGTTATTTCTGATAACACACACACTATTTTAGAGGCACACAGATTCCAGCAATTATACCAAGATTTGTCAAGTTCATTTCCTTGTTTCCAAAAATGAAAATGGTGTTTATGTGGGTTTTAGTTCAAGGCACTTTTTCGTTGTAAGAAAACCTATAACATTCATGTCCACTTATTATTGATTTATGGTAAAAATGTCTTGTACAGGTTTTTAGAATATATTACCTTTGACACCTATATAACTTATCTTAAAACATTTACCTAACAAAAACTTCATGCCAAACTCTATTGAGGCTATTTACATATTTACAGTGAGCAACCAATGAAATACAGATAATACAAAAATGGGAACAAGGAATAAGGAAACCATTAGTCTAAAGTGGAAGTAAAGAATGAGTATTTAATTGAAGGAAATCGTGTCCATCAAGCAGTGATAATATTCTACAGACACATTAACACAATACAATAATTCCATGAGTTATGGAATTAACTCCATAAAAACTACTACTGGACAATCACAGCTGAACACAATAGAACTGAAAGAGACACAAAATCGAAGACAAATTACACAACAGCTCTTCAACTCCTCCTCACATGCAAACCAATAAAATTAACTAATCAGCACCTCATAAAATGACACTGATGATTCCTTCACAAATCCAGGTGAGAAGATTGAACATTGCGATTTCAATGACAAAGATAAAGATATCTACCAAATAGATTTACTATAATTTAATTGCATTGTTTTATCAAGTATAAACACATTTCAATCATGACGACTCTCGGAACATTTTAGCAATGTTAATGTATTTGGTCTTGGCGGAACGATCTGCTACGCTGCTGCTGAATTGCTGCTGCTGTTGGTTATTGCTGTAGTTGTAGATTATTGCTGCTGCTGCAAACAAGTACAGGAACTTGCTACTGCCAGTGCATATGGCGATACGCTGCCATGAGTATTTAAGACATACTGCTGCAGCACAAATAGCATATAAAATAACCCCGTAGCAGATCTAGTCAGGTGGAGCTGGGGAAGGTGGAGGGTTTCAGAGAACTCTGAAAGCGCGCTGCAGGAATCTCAAGTGAATGCTAGCCAGCCATATAAATGTAAGGCAGTAAGCTCATTGGCTGCATATGCAGCATGAACCAATCAGCTTGTGCCAAGTCGTTTAACTCGATGAATATCATCAGTTACGTTAACACCCCATCAGAATGCGCCATCTAGAGTTTCATGACTGTACTATATATTTGTGTGGTAATTGTGTTGTAACGGTTTAATGGCAGAGTAACAGCATTTAACAGAGGCATTGAACATAATAAATACATTCAGCAAAGTGTTTCACTAACTTTAAAACAAATCAATGAATTTCCAAACTCATTAAGGCTGGTTTTGGTTTCAGTATGGTGGAAAGTGTTTTCTGATGAAGGTGGATGACTAAGGGTTAATGTTAGTGGTTAAAACATTAGCAACATATTGATACCATACTCCAGTAACATCAACAATACCAGTAAAAAAATCAAGCATCTATCACTGGTAATGTGTTACTTTGTTTCTGCCATTATTGCTAATATACTGTTTAAGGCTAAATGTTTTAATTTAGCAATTAAATCACAAAAAAAAAAAAAATCACATTTCAAATAAATTAGTTTTATAATGTCATATTTAAATTGGTATAGGTGAAATGTGACTGGTATTGGTGCTGATCACTGGCATCTTTTCAATATTTCCCATTTCTCTTCTATGTCCCTTTCAATGAAGGTATCAAAAGAATCATAAATGATATTACATTGTTTTATTGGCAGCCTCGAGCTGAGTCTGATTTAAGAGTGTTCCATTTACCTCAAAGGAATGTTATTTGGATCATTGTCCTGTAAGAGAATACGGATTCACAGAAGGTAAAAGTAATGATGAGGACTGATGTTTCAGTTACACAAACACAAAAATACTATTGTTTTTTTTTCCAGTTGTTTGTACAGAGGTTTTCTTTCCCTAAACATCTAACACAGTATTTTATACCGTATCAAACTGTCACCTTTTGTACTACAGTAACAAAGTTCCCCTTTATGCTATATCTAATTATGTATTCATACCACTGTTCTTTTCAAGTTTTTTTTCTTGTTAAATCAGCTGTAGGTAATACTTACATTCGGTGGTACTGCTGAATTGCTCCTGCGGCGACAGTAAAACGCACCAGCAGCTACAGCAGCAGCAGCCACCAGCAGAACAGCAATATTCCTGCTACAGCAGCTGAAGACAGACCTGAATCTGGAACAGCTAAAGACAGACAATCATTATTACTACAGATAATACATCCAATGTTTACCAATATCTCTGACTGATATTTACATCTTCCTATTGATCATCAGATATTGATTAAACTGATAAACCAGGTGTTTTTTACCAACAGCAGCTAAACAGCATCAGCACTGTGAGCTCAGCACAAGACAGCAGGCAAACAAAATTTAATTAGCTTTTTTAACAGTCCACAACCGGACACTTAAGTTGATTTTAAACAAATGTACTGTTTTTAAAAATCCCTCAAAGGAAATGCATTGAGTGACTGAATGATATACTCACCAGTGACAGAAACACTGAATATGTTCATTCTGGTGATACTGAAGCTGCTGTTTCTGCTGGTGATCAGTAGTTTATAAAGACCAGCGTCTGTGGTTCTGGTGTCTGTGATGGTGAGAGATCCAGTCTGATGATCCAGCTTCAGTCTGTCTGTGAATCTCTCAGTACCTGAATTACACCGAACATCTGTACAGATCTTACTCTGATTTCCAGTGATTTCAGCCATGAGAATGTCATTAAAATACCATCTAATCTCTTCTTGTTGGTTTGTTTGTACATCAGTGTTTAGTGTGACTGAATCTCCCTCCTTTACTGACACTGACACACTGTCTGTATAAACACCAGACACGCCTAAAGAGAAGAAACAGTTAATGTAAGACAAACAAAACTATACAATAGGGCTGTGAATGTTTCTCTACAGATCAAAGTACAGAAATATGTCTGGATTCATAATGTAGCACGTGCAAACAAACAGCAGAATAACATCAATGATTTACACATTCACTCAACAGACAAACGTGAGTCTCATGGATGAGCTTATAGAACTTAACAAACATCATACAAGACAGTTCTATGCAGCACATTTTCATAAGGAATATTAAAGATTAATTTTACCCATAAAGATAGCACCGCATTAAAATTTAAATAATACAATGCCATGTTTTTCTCCAAATAACCTATTGTAATCTCTCACGTAAATTAAGAATGTAGGTACATTTTATTAACTTGGCAAAGCGACTCATTACATTTGATCCGTTTATGCACTGATATAAAACAATATCAACATTTTCTATCGGTATGATGCCATGTTATGATGCCATGAACCTATCTTCACGCCACTGAAACTGACCTGGACTGATTCGACCCTTCGAATTACATGAGCGTGGTAGGCACTGTTGTCAACCTATAATCTCTACACTACTAATAGCCTAATAATATTCCTGTCACTAACTGTGCCAATACGCATGCAAAAATCTGTGCAACATCACAGAATAGATTGTAACAAACCAGTCTTACCATGGTCGAGTAAAAACAAGATCACCAAGAGCAAATTAAAGAGAAGAGTCATTTTCACTTTTCTCCTCAGAAAAAGAATATGAAAAATTAATGCAAAATGTTCTGGTTTGTAGGCGACGCAGTTGTTACACTAGTTCAAATCAAAGTAATCTGAGAGCTTCCCTATGGCTATGAAAGGTAGAGCGAAGATGTAATGAACGTCCCATGCCGATTCTAATTTTCATATGCAAAAAGGCTTTACGCCGTGTAAAATATTACACTAAAAAAATATTACATTTCTTATTCCTAAACCGCAATCTGGATTTTATTTTTTAACAATTTCAAGACAACTGTTTACATGATACTGTTTAAATTATTTTAGCTAGTGAAATAATAAAATAAGGTAAACAAAAAAAAAAAGGTTTTCTCTTTAGGCTATATATCATGTAACAGTAATGTAAGTGAGTAGACTTGTGGAAATAAAACACATTACATTAAATTGAGTCTAGCCTAAAGAACTTTAAACCAGTTGTTCAGGAAGGCAGAGCTCATGTGTAGAGAGAGAGAGGGAAAAAAAAGAGTATCTTCTTTTGTCCCATAAGCACCTGTTGGTGGATATTGTAACTACACACTCTGGCTGCAATAAGCATCTTTTTATTTATTTATTTTTAATTAATGTCATGACTATATAAAATTATGGAAGCTTCCTCCATGGAATAATCCTTCAAATTCAGAGTATGGGTCACCCCTCGGTAGAAATGTTTTTTGTTTTTTTTCGCTCCCTCTCCCTCGCCAAGCCCTTGGAATCATCATCCTGTTATCCTCCTGCTCCATCACAGACTTCCAGGCCTGTGGCTCAACATTGAAAAGTTTTGAAAAGTTAAAGGAATAGTCCACCACAAAATGAAAATAATCCCATAATTTACTCACCCTCACCGTCAAGCCATCCTAGGTGTATACATGGATTTTCTTTATTTAGCTGAACATGATTGGAGATATAAACATATCCTTGCTCTTCCCAGCTTTGTGATTGAATGGTGCCCGAGTTTTTGTAGCTCATCCATCCATCATAAAAGTAATACGACTGGGGTTAATAAATGCCTTTTAAAGCGAAGCAATGGGTAAATCCATATATAAAGTGTCATGAAACCACCTTGTTTTAGCATCAGTCTATCACACCTCAGATTTAAAAAAGACTCCAGAAAATGGGTGTGTAAAGCGGTAGAAAACCTGATTGCATTGTTACACTTTCAGATAAACATAATTTACTATTAAATTTTTTTTTAGATAAAACATAGGTAAACATAGGTTTGGTTAATCTAATACCGACCTACAGGCAGAAACTGAAATCAGCTAAGCCTGTATTAAGGACTGTAAAAAGATGGACTAATGAAGCAGAGCAGGATTTACAAGCTCTGATTCTGATTCTGATTCTAAATAAAACATAGATAAGATAGATAGGTTACAATCGTTGAATAAAGTCTTTATTTTTGTTTTCTTTGTGCACAAAAAGTGTTCTTGTAGCTTCATAAAATTGCGGTTGAAGCACTGATGTCACATGGACTATAAACTATTTTTTTAACCTTGGGAGTGATCTATAACAAGCTCTTGCTCTATTTGGACTTGTTCACTTTCTGCCATGTTTGGATTGCTTTAGTAAACGTGTTTTTTTTTTTGCACTGTTTGTGCTGACAGTTTACCAATTTTGTATATCCACTTTTAAATACTGTTATAGTTAATATTTCTACAAATGTCTTTGCTGTTTTTAATCTGCACTGACAGCAGTTAATAGTAAGTTTATAAATGTCTTGCCGTACTTAATCCACTGTACATCAAGTATGTATATGCTCTGATATTCAATGTAAACATTAATGCAGGGTTTCTTCATGTATTGAATGTTAAACGTAATACAGCATTTACATTAGTTTTGTTGATCCACTCTGAAAACAACCGTGTTGTTTGCATTATGTATTTGTGTTCGAATACACTGCTGATGCAGCATTTAAAGTGTTTTTGTTTTGATTCTTTTGTGAAATCAATTCACAGCAACTGCACTCAGTCCTCCATTTTTGCAAATTTGCGAAGTTTGACAACTCAATATAAAAACACTTAAACTCTTGCTTTTTGCCTTTATTGTCAATGCCAATATGCATTTTTACATTTAATATTTTGTATTTACACTCACACACATTTGAACATGTCTACGGTACATTTGGATGGAGTTTACTTAAAGCAAGTTAGGTTGCTTAATACCTTAATATTATCATAAAAAAATCAAGTTGAGAAAAAGACAATTATGTCAGTTGACAACATTCTGATCATGTGGGACTGATGTACACAATAAAATTAAGTAAATTCAAAAGACCTTTTTTCAGTGTAGATCAGTGCATACTACTGATTTGAATCTGTGCACATGTAGCCCACAATATTTTAATTTTACACTTTCAGTTTATATAATTTGATATATTTAAGTGCTAAATTACAATCACAGTCATGATTAGCAATGTTGTAATTGTTTCATTATGGATGAGTTTAATCCAAGCATCATTATGATGAAGGCCTTATCTTATGGATTTATAACCAGCCAATCCACCGCATTTGAGCACTCACTAGCCTCGTCTCCCTTCTGTTTCACCTGTAAAAAAAATGTAAATTACCATTCAGATAAATACAAAGCCAACATAATCACTCAACATTACTCATGTATATGTGTTTCTATTAATGCTGCATTATTTAATTTGAAGGTCTAATCCTTTACCACCTGTATGCATTAGTAATAATTTTTAAATAGTAATGTATAAGAGCTATAATAACTTTAGATTTGTTAAAGCAGTGCTATTTTAAGCTGTAGTAGCTGTAAGTTTGCCATTGTTTGTATTTATTGCTTGCTGTTTAGCAATATCTCACCAAAACTACAATCACACATATGCATGTATAACAGTACTATAGTGAGAACCTTCTGAGGATTCCTCATCTGATGGTGACTTTTCTTGTTCTGTTGATTTCACAGGTTCCTCTTGAGCTGCATTTATAACAGTACTATAGTGAGAACCTTCTGAGGATTCCTCATCTGTTGGTGACTTTTCTTGTTCTGTTGATTTCACAGGTTTCTCTTGAGCTTTAGAACGAGTTAACCATCCACCAATACTACTAATGATATTTGCAGTGCTCCAGCTGAGTCAGGGTTCTTTCTCCAGGCTATAAGAAGGAACCAGAAGAGAACAACGGTGGTCATTGGAACAAGTTACAAATTTGCTGTAGTTACTGCATTCAACTAATTCGAGTACAGAGTGTAATAGACTATAGCAAACATTACATTTTCTGTTATCAAATTAGTTACTGATTTTACATTGTTTGGCATATACACACAAAAAAATAGTTGTGTTTACAATATAAAACATTTAAAACAAATTACATTTCCATGTTTGTCTGTTAATGATTGTTTGACTGCAACATAAGGATGTTCACTCACCTCAGACTACAGTTTGAGTCTTGTAGCACGTCAATGAGCTGCTTTTTCGAGTATCCGATGTTATTGTTACTCAGATCAAGTTCTTTTAAAAAAGTCAATGCTTTTGTCTTGGCCAAAGACTGGGTTAAATGTGCAACATCTGTAATGCCTCAGTCATTTAGACTAGAAAGAGAGGAAGAAATATCATTTTTATGTTTCATGTTTGCCTTTTCTCAACAAAATTTGGAGGAAAAAAAAATCACTGTCATCTCAATGGGAATGCATTTTGATAAGGAATTTCGCCTGATGGATTTCCAGTGGCATGGAGTTTAGATTTGACAGGGAAATTAACAGAATTGACCAACAGAAGTTGCTTCAGTGAACTCTGAACTGGCTGGAGCCTTGTTCTGCCAATCCAATGGCCATCCATCAGGCGAAACTGCACAAAATATTTACAACGAACAAGGCTATCATTCAAGCAGTGTATCCTCAGCCACTTCATAAAAGTATTGTTCTAGAATATAAAGTGCTGCAGAATAAAGAGTTGCTTGGAAAATGTTTCTCACACACACTTCAAATTCTGTCTTTTTTTCTTTTTTTTTATGTCTGCAGAATTTTGCCATGCAAAAAAAGTACACTATAATGTGACTGCACCTTATTGCACAATAGATCAAATTCAGCCAATTCATAAAAAGACCCAAACATTTTAAATGTATAAAGCTATGCTCTACATTGCCAAATGGTTTAAAATATAAAGATAAAAGGGCAGTTAAAAAATCATTAAATTATACATAATAAAAATAAAAGGCACAATCGAAGTGTCTGCAGGAACACACATTCATTCTTCTTCAACTTAATATATATTCCTCCACTGGGAGGAATTATTTTCCACAAATATGGGAGATATTGAGTAAAAGTGTTTTAGTTAAAATTACAGTGTTAAAGTGATTTTAAGCATTGTGATTTTTGTATGGGAATATTCCTCACCTCAATCTCTTCAGTTGACACCGTGAATTATTCAGTATTTCACACAAGATCTCCAATCCTTTGTTTTCTATTTTATTCTGACTGAGGTCCAGCTCTCTCAGGTGTGAAAGGTTTAAACACAGGGATGGAGACAGGATGATACAGTGTTTCGCTGTAATTCTGCATCCACACAGACTGAAGACAGAAAGAGAAAGAACAATGATCCATGTACAGTTCATGTGTGAGTTAAATTCATCCTAGTCTCGCGTAGCCAGACCTTTAGACTGACGGCTGAAGGTCTTCTTCTTCTTCTGGTGTTTTAAGGCGGTTTGGCAAACCAGCGAAAAAGGTGCATTACCGCCACCTACTGATCTGGAGTGTGGAGTGTGCATAAATTTGGAAGAAAGAAATACAGAAGGAAAAAGAAAGAAAATAAAAAAAGCTAGATTCTATCTATTGTTCCTATGTTTTTCAGGTATTTAAACACATCCAGTCACAGATCAGCTGTTGCCAAACCGCCCCCTGCTGCGCGCTTCAGAAGAGGCAGCCCGGCTGAAGGTCTTCTTCTTCTTCTTTTGGTCTTATGGCGGGTTGCGAACCAACTTCATAGGTGCATAGGCTGAAGGTCTGGAATCCATGGCAGTTTTCATTGGCCAAGGCCCGCCC